AATACTAAGTTTTGGGGTCGAAAAACTGCTTCATTCGCGTAAAAGATTTTTGTATCAAACTATTGTCTCCGTCAAATCCAAATCTTTAGCTCTTCTAAGGACTGGAAACAATGGAATATTCGAATTTGGCACGTTCGATACCTAGAAAACAGTATTTTTATCGCACAAAACGCGTTTTCCTTGATGTAGTTTTAAGTTTTCGTCTTTCAAAACCCGCTCAAAACCTCCTCTAAAACCTTGAAAAACAGTTTTCCGTGGGTTTCGCGATATGCTCTTTTATATTCACGAATCAAAACATTTTTTTATTGCAAATGGTTTTTCGACCCCAAAACTTAGTATTTCAAAAACCGGGTCTTTAAACTAAAATTAGGTCCAAACCAATGTAATATTCGGAATCAGGACACTCGATTACCTATTGTCCACTAAGTTTTGGGCCAAAAGCTTCTGGACAGTTGGGGGCCTTCCCTCGTAATTTCGTATGTTCGAATCTCTATTCGTATAAAATTGATTTTGCGTTTTTCGATAGTTTTAGTTTAGAATAATGTAACGGAATATTTTCCGCTTGTATTCTGATAGGATAAAGCTTATATCAAATCTGAAAATTTTATGGAAGTTTTTAAAATCGGGCAAAAAGTCGAGAAAAATTTTTAAAAATATTTTTGTCAAAAAATAAAAGTCCGGTAACCGAAAAACTCATAAGAAATACTCTTCAAATTACAGTCTATAAACGGGGAAAAAAAAGAGAGTGAGGGATCCTCTCCTTAATACCGGAAAAATACCGCACGGTTACCGTGAGATATACCACCATAGTATATTTTGTCATTATGAAGACGTAGAATAGGAGTCTATATAATCTAAAAGAAAAGTTTTCATCTTAAGAAAAGATCATATTTCTCGAATTTTTCTGTTTTTTTATATCTTCATGGGTGCAAAATACAATCATGAATGGATAAAATCGTTATCCTGCGATATTTTCTTAGATCACGGTCTAACAAGTTACCGTCGGTTTACTCTGCGGTAGGTATGCACCGGTATCGGTATCCATACCGAAATACCGATACCGAAAATACCGACCTTTATTGATACTTTCATCTGAAATGAGATAGTTTAGTGTCATGTACAGGAAAAACACAAAAAACATTCAGCTATGTATTCTGAGCAGCTGTAAGAACAACTTACATAGAAAATAAAAGAAAACTTTGGCCTTAGAAAGTAAAGAAAGCTCTTGTTTTGCATTTCTGATTCTTTCTGGGCGTCCAGGATGCTAAACTATCTCATTTCAGATGAAAAAATCAAAAAAGGTCCAAATCAAAAACTGTCAGTATTTTCGGTATCGGTATTCGGTATAGTGATACCGGTGCTTACCTACCTCACGGTATGCCTAGCGGTGCGATATACCGACAGTATTTTAAAAAAAAGCTGGACATGGGCAGTTTATTTCCTGATAAATATAAAAGCTATTACCTTACGCTTGCTAGAGTAGAAAAGTCTACGATTTATTATCGTTTTTTTAACTATTATCCACATGACTCATGTATTTATCGATCAATAATTTTTCAGCATTCGGTCACTATACAGATGCACATATATTGTCCCTAAATATTACTTTATGTTTTTTGTTACTATTCCACTAGAAATCTTCATTCGATGCTAAAAAAGTACTCAAATCTAATATTGAAGGGTAAAAATGCTTAAACAAGGATAACCTGATTTTTCTTTGATTAACACTGTATTTCTCTTGTATACATTGCTAAAAAACAAGTGATAAATAATAACCGTTGACAAAAATACGAAGGATAGAAAAACAAAAACAAACACATCAATAACATAAAGGGAAAAGGTAAGAAATACGTAGAGTGTTTCTTTTAAGCAATATGTAAGAATCTAAGAAGATTCAAGTAAAATATTGATAAGAATCCGATAAGAGGAACATAAGAAAGTGAACAACTTCTTCTGAGCTTCTTGTCAAAGAATTCTTATAATACTCTTACCTGATTCTTATGACATTCGTGGCACTTTTTATATACGATTCTGATAAGAATATTATTTTCTGAATTTCAGAAAAGTCTTGGTCTAGAGAGAACAACGAAAACCCATGGGTGATTCTTTTGAAAGTGTACCAGAGTTTACATCGACTTCATCCCAACAGTTTGAGAGTAATAGGACTAGTACAACTCGTGCTTCTGATGACGAATATCATGTTTAAAGGGTTTTAAAACAATGGCATCGTGGCTTTCTAGGCTTGTGAAGATGCCACTTCCCAGCAGAACAGGCCTTTTCCGGACATTTTTATCATTTTTTAGTCAAACATTTTCATGAGTTGATACCGTCAGATTACAATCTATACTTGCAGCGCTGCAAAATTCCTAACGGACAAAAGTTCCAAAATGTTAAGCACGCTCTCCGAAGAACTTTTAAAAAAGTCTTTTTTTTCGAAAAGTAGACCTTTTTTGTAAATCGTACTTCCCCCATAAAATCATGTCAACATATGACAACATCATATGTTGATGATACGCATTCGACCCATCTTTTCCAGCTCTATCCGATGAAGTGGTTCTCATTGAGATTAAAAATCATCTAATGATAGAAAACAACAACTTTTAAAGGCGATTTTCCTCGTTTTTCAAAGTCTGAGTACGTGCTGTACCATTCTACGAAATTTATGATGTGGATTGACATATATTTCGCATGTACTCGACGTGGGCTGTTAAAAAACCAAGTTTTTGCCTTTGCCCAAACACATTCAGAAAAAGTGTTTTTCCAGCAAAAATACTACAGAATTTTCGTCTGTTTCATGGTTGTTAATCTCAATGAGAACCATTTCGTCGGATAGAGCTAGAAAAGATGGGTAGAATCCGTATCTTGCTGTCGAGTGTTGACATAATTTTATGGGGGAAGTACGGTTTACAAAAAAGGGCTACTTTCGAAAAAGCAGACTTTTTAAAAGTTCTCCTGAGAACGTGTTTAATATTTTGGAACTTTTGTCCGTTAGGAATTTTGCAGCGCTGCACGTATAGATTGTAATCTGACGGTACCAACTCATGAAAATGTTTGACTAAAAAATGATAAAAATGTCCGGAAAAGGCCTGTTCTGCTGGGAAATGGCATCTTCACAGGTCTAGAAGGCCACGATGCCGTTATTTTAAAACCTTTTAAACATGATATTCGTCATCAGAAGCACGAGTTGTACTAGTCCTATTACTCTCAAACTGTTGGGATGAGCTCGGTGTAAACATGGTACGTTTTCGAAAGAAGAACCACCGCGCATGTCCAGTACAACTATAATATTGCGACAAGACAAACAGCTAGGATGCTGCTCTGTTTAGTGATAATAGGCAAGGCCAGAGAAACAAAATAAAAATGATCTCAAGAGGATGCATTGAATAGAAACAAGGTTCATTTTACTTCTCAAATATCGAAAGTTCAATGGCAGCGCAAATGACTCAAAAAATCGAAACCGCTTTCTTCCATGTTATATGACTTTAAGTGGAGTCTTCTTTGACAATCAATGTTAACGTACGATTGAATTTCTTTTGTGAATTATATGTGTATGAAAAACAGATATTCGGAAATGTAGATCTCGATGTATGTTGACTGTGTTTTCTGATAGGTTCTCATAATTGAGTATTCACGGCGTGCGATAAAGATTATTAAAAGTTCACAACATTTTTTCGAAAAAACATACACTTAGAGGTGTTGTACTACTTAAAAAAGTACATTGAGCACTCAAAAAATTAAATGTAAATCTAACACAACTTAGATCTTAGAAATATTATGTCATTATAAAATGAATGTGAAATATTTTCTTTATTCTGCTGCTTGCAAGTGCTATTCATCGTCTTCGCCGTTAGGATCATCAGCAGTTGCTTCTTGATATTGTTGGTATTCTGCTATTAAATCGTTCATATTTGATTCAGCTTCAGTAAATTCCATTTCGTCCATACCTTGTTCAATATAACGAAATAAGAATGCTTTTCGACGAAACATGGCCGAAAATTGTTCACCAATACGTTTAAAAATTTCTTGAATTGCTGTATTGTTACCTGAAAAGATAAATCAAAAAAATAAGTCTTAAATGAATTATTCTCAAAATATGTTAGAAGTTCCTCTTCATAATATACTCACCAATAAATGTGGCTGCTAATTTAAGACCTTTTGGTGCAATATCACATACGGCCGTTTTAACATTATTCGGTATCCATTCAACAAAAAATGATGAATTTTTATTTTGTACCGATGTCATTTGTTCTTCGAGTTCTCTCATTGATACTTTACCACGAAATATTGCTGCCACTGTTAAATATCGTCCATGTCTTGGATCACATGCTGCCATCATATTTCCTGATGAAAATAATTGTTGACTCAAGTCCGCTACAGTCATTGTACGATATTGTTCTAGTCTAACACTGGTTAATGGTGCATAACCACACATAAAAAAATGTAAACGTGGAAATGGAATCATATTTACAGCTAATTTACGTAAATCAGCATTTAATTGACCTTTAAAAAAAAAAAAAAATTCTATTATCGTAGAGAAAAAGAAATAATAATGAAAAATGATTTAAATCTTACCCGGAAATCGAAGACAAGTTGTAACACCAGACATCTTAATTTAGAGAAGTATTTATTATTTAAATATAAACATTTCTTATGCAATTTTTCTTTCTACTTACAGTTGATGATACAAGATGATTTAAATCTTTATAAGTTGGTGAAGTTATTTTTAATGTACGAAAACAAATATCATATAGAGCTTCATTGTCAATACAACATGACTGATCGGTATTTTCAATTAACTGATGAATACTCAATGTAGTATTGTACGGTTCAACAACAACTTCGCTGACTTTTGGTGAAGGAAATACGGAATACGTATTCATTATACGATCAGGATATTCCTCACGCATTTTGGACAAAAGTAATGTACCCATACCACTTCCAGTACCTAAAAATACGATAGTACATTTAATATATATATTCTATTGAACATAGTAAAATAAATTCTTACCACCGCCAAGTGAATGTGTCAATTGAAATCCTTGTAAACAATCACATGCTTCCGATTCTTTTCGAACAACGTCCATAACATTTTCAATTAATTCAGCTCCCTCTGTATAATGACCGGTACCCCAATTATTACCTAATCGTTTAATGAAAGATAAACATAAAATTTCTTTTTTTTATAAATAAATTAAAAATTCGACATTTACCTGCACCATTTTGTCCAAAAACAAAATTATCTGGTCTGAATAATCCACCATATGCACTAGCTCTCACTGCATCCATTGTACCAGGTTCTAGATCAATTAGAACCGCTCTCGGTACATATCGTGCATCTAACAGAAAAAATAATATAGAATTCTTAAAAGAAACATGATCAAATATGTATACTTTGTCCTTCGGTAAAATAAACATTAATTCGTTCTAATTGAAGTGGTGATTCACCCTTATATTCTCCAGTTGAATCAATACCATGTTCTTCACATATAGTTTCCCAAAACTTTGATCCTATCTGATTTCCACATTGACCAACTTGTAAATGTAATATTTCTCTCATTTTTGATAAAATATGCGTACAAATATCGTTGAATATATTTATGTAATGCGTGAATTAATACCTGTATGATTTTTATGCATCTTCCTGTACAAGGGCAGGTAAATACAAGGTTGATTTTTGTATCCTTACTAGTAGAACATGACTAGCTATTCATCATCATCATATACATAAAAAAAAAAAAAAAAGAAATGCGAAAAGAAACAGATGCTCGAAAGATTGAAACTGCTATTAAGAGTAGGAGTGAGTACTGTGACGAAAAGAAGAATGAGTCAATCTTTCTCTTTATTTGATTGTCTATTCTATCTTAAATAGAAAGAAAAAAGAAAAGCGAAGAAATAGAGGTTTTGTGACTCATCGATTCATAATTAGAGCACAAATATTGACTTGACGTGATACATATCTAGTCTTACATAATGTGGTCAATACTGAATCATAATCAATGAATCATCAACAGATTTATATAATAACGCGTCTAATCGTTCATTCGTTTGATTTTAGAGAAATTGATCCAGACTGTCATCATGGACGTTTTCAACTATGAAAAATAGCAGTAAACGACTTTGACCAGTAATTCTGTTAGTCGATTGTATTTTGTGAGATATCAATGGGAGACTGCATCCCATTTTAGAAGAGCTTGCCTTTCCCTTTTCCAACTTTTCCCTTTCAACAAATAAAATCCTTGTGGATTGTGTATGTCAAAGTATCGAGCGATGTTGCTTATCTTTACGAGGATGTTTCTTCTGCCAGCCCCGATGGAATCCTATAGATTTCATCTAATAGCAACGTGGATATTCGGATATCCGCAGGATTTTTTGAAAACTTGCAGAATTTTATAAGTCTTTTTTCAGTGAACAGCAAGATAACGTCCCATATTGCAAAGCTAATACAATCAAACAAGGGTAGCTAACTTACAAACAGAAGTGGGATGTACCAGAGTGACGCCAATTAGCATTAATTATCACGTATTAATTATAGTCTCATACTTTAAAAAAGGAATTTTAAAAGCTTTTTGATGAAGCTGTAACCATAGATCTTTGGCTCTCATGCAAGAACGCTTCTACGATTATTTTTAATCGAACTGCAAGCTTTCCAAAAGGGGAATAACAATTCAAACTTTAATTAGAATTTAAACTTAATTAATTAATAACACTGTCAGTATTTGGCCAAATTTTGTTTTATTCTACAGGTATACCACTGAAGGTGTCCTCTATAAACCAGCCAAGTTTGAGGGTATGTCCAGGGGAAGGACATTTCCCTGAAGAATTCTGAATTAAAACAAAGAAACATGCCGGCAACTAGTATTCACTCTAGGTCATCATAAATGGTTTAGATGGTCTACCATATATCTCCATGTACATTGTTCATCCAGTCCGTTTGTCCGACGAGTCTGCAGAGAGAAATATTCATTGTAAAATTTTTGAGTTTAGTGCCAGCATTTGCACAAATTTAAAATTTTTTATTTTATCTACATAGGAACTTTAGCCGTTATCCAATGGAGTCTTATTAAGAAAATCGACTTTGGCTTGCTCTCCCAGTTTTTGGTACAATCGTTTTCTAAGAAAGCCTTAGAGAAGCTGTTATGGAAGAAATGCATTGGAGCTAACCTTTTAATTTAGCAATATTTATAGAATTTCGATAATCCTGTATCTCGATTTTTAATACAAAAAAACTGTTTTTAAAAACGATCTTTTTTAATTTAGAAATTCCAAAAGTGATCTTGCACATCTCATATTAATGTGGCAGTTGAAAAACGTTTGTATCATACTTTTCTAAAATGCTTTTCCGACTACTAGTTTCAACTAGCTGCGCACGCTGCCGAAATAGCTAAAGTAAAACCTACCTAAAAAAACAATTTCCGTCTGGTTTTATATTTTTAATCAAACTTGGTTTGGTATTAATATTCATTCTACGTACAATACCAAATGAAGGGATTGTTAGAGCCGCTGCATTGCTTCTTGTACGAAGCAATTGCAGTTCTATTGACTTTTGTATTATCCATTCTTTGGATGGTGGATTAAATGGCATTGTTTGGTCAATTATTGTGTCTGTTATGATACGCAAATTTTCCTTATCTTGATTGTTTTCATCATTTAGTATTTTAGTAGTTCTTGAATTTGAATCATTAGCACCTGGCTCTTGTGCTGAGGCTGAGACAAACGATAGTAGCAGTGATGGTGGTGGAGCCAGTGAGGTTTATTGTGACTACTGCTGCTTCTGCTAAAGGCCTGCTGACTTTGTTGCTTGAATTGCTGGTAACAGAATCTTGAGAAGCAGTTATAGTGGCATTTTCTGTTGGTAATAACTTTTGTGGACTAGATAATGTTCCTGCTTCTCCTGCTGCTGTAGTTTTCGCTATTGCTACTCCCGTGAGTGTTGTTGATTCTGTTGTTGGTGGTAGTAGTGGTGTTATTAATGTCCTCCTAACTCACCATCGTCTTTTATTAAAATTTTGGCTGCTTTGGTTGATGGTGGACGTTGTTGAAGACGTTTTAATTTGGTTCTAACTATTGTTGTTTTGCCACCATCTCCAATATGTGTTTTGTAAAACTGTGTATGTTTTCTGCTTTGTTTTGGTCGTCTACGAGGATGAACAACACGATTTATTGTAAATAATGGTGCCAAATTCTGTAGAAATGTTCTAGTAAAATCAGTTGTTGTAGGACTTGTGACCACTGCTGTTTGTGTTTCTGCTGGTTTTTTTAGTCTACAAATAAAAATGAGTAAACAAATGAACAAAGGACAAATTTTTTCATTCCGGATGTGAACCTCTCATAGAGTTCTTGCAAGTTTTCCGCACAGAAACGCTTGATTAAACGAGGAAAGCCGGAACAGTTAAAAACGTCCCTCATTGTATCGTAAAAGGAATCCCTTATATAATCAGCGTCGAATTCTGATGAACACAGCTTGCATTTCTTTGGCGAAACTGGAAAGTTTTTGTCTCACTTTTACTTAAAGCAAGTACCATTCGATACAGAAGTTGATACTGGATCCGAATATCAGGTCTTAAGTTTAAAAAGACTATATCAGGACCGAAAAATTTCACTTCATTTATATAGTGTCACTAAAAACATAACTCAAATACTGACGGCTCAATCAGCCCAACATGTAAACCTTAGCTTCAAAATGTAATTTATAGTCAAAAGTAATGTGCTGTTTCAAAAATTTAAAACGAAAATCGATTCTAATGAATCATATCCGCTCAGCAAATCATTAGAGGCCAGAGATTCGGGAAAACTCGCTCGTACCTGCAGTAATCAGCCTATCGCTCTTCGACTGTAGTAGTGAACAATGCGAAATGAATATGGCAATATCTAAAGCTAAAACTACCCATAATCGGGTGATATGTACTGCTGTCTTTCGGTCCATGATTTAAATAAGTTCTTTAGATCTTCTAAACGTTCATGGAATTCATCAGTTCCCAACTGGGTCAAATAATTATTAATCATATACAGTTCTTTCCAAGCAAGTTGGTTTTTTCTGATACCGTCAAGTAATGGAGGTTATCATTAAAATTTGCCTGATCATTTTCGTCCTCATCACTTGAATTTGATAAATAATCAGATGTGGGAATATTGCTATTTAAATTCTTTGATGTTGTATGTGAACATGGTACAGGGTTAAAGGATATATCATTTACTGTTGTACAACGAAGCCATCGTGGTGCAATTAATGTGTAATTCAAGGTAAGTTTATCAATCTGTTTTAAATAAAATAATACATGTAAACAAGACAATTGCATTGTGCAGCTAAAATAACATGAACACGATTGTAAAAATTTATTAATATTGTATGATTTATTTTTATCAAGATTTGTTATGGTAATAATATCATTATGGCTAGTATTATCATATTCGTTATCATTATCGAATGAATTCATGTCAGCAATGGCCATTTGAATGCGATCCATGAACTACAGTTGTTGATTAACAAATTTGCAGGCAGAATCTAGGTACAACACACAAAAAATAAATCACTTCTAAGTTATTTTATGAGAGCTGATGAAAAATAGTGAGTCATCGGTCTTTAGCTATCAACCATTAGTCATCTATTGAACAATTGGCGGTTGTTCTCAATCGAAAATTAAGAAAAACTCTAATAACTACCATTGATGAACGATTGACTCGATTATAAAAGAAATATTTATCGGTTGTTCCTGAGCTTTGCGATAAACTGATAAGATCAATACCGGCATGTATCGTTATGTATATTAAAGCCAAAGGCAGACAGATAAGTTTCTATACATTTTCTGTTTTGTGTACAAAATTTTCTTTTAAAAAAAAGTAGCTACTGTTCAGAACTTTTCGAACAGAGAGATTTTCTGCAAATAAAATATTATTTTCCATTAAAGGTAATATAACCAAACAGGGTGTCTGCTATAAAGTAGAAACAAAACGTTAACTTGTAAGCCTTTGAAGGTTTGCTAATAGGCATGCACCGATTTCGATTAAAATTCCGAAATCGAAAATATTCGAACCTTCGATTATTCGAAATCGAAAATAATCGAACCTTTTTTCTGTTTCTGGCAAAATACTAGAGCGACATGAGAGTTCAGATTATTTGTGTAAAGTGTAAAATGAAGTTAAGATGGATCTTGATTAGGCATGCAACGTAAAGGTTACCGTTACCGTTTTACCGGTTTT